TGAGAGTAGGGCATGGGAGAGGTGTGTGTATACTGTATACACACCTCACCCCTGCTCTAAAGTTATCTAAAAAGGGAAAGAAGAGTCTTTTCGGGACATCCCAAAAGGGAAATGACGAATCTTCTTTTGGGATGGAGGGAGTATTTGCCCATCGTTTTCCATGATAAACCTCGAGGCTCCTTAAAGCAATCACATCCCTTCTTTTTCTTTTTGTTCTTGCAGAAGCTGCAGCATATGGTGCAGATGATGATAATGAGGTTGGTTGTCTTTAATATATATGAACTTGCTTGGTACTTCTTAGATACAATTATATATTTGGCTTCCTCAATTGTTTCACTTTAGAGCATGTAATCTTTGTTTTTTAATATATGCAAAAGAGGCCGTTCAATTCTTTTTAGTGGTATCGAATTCATTGCCTCTTGTCACCAGCACACTCATTATGTTTCTTGGTGGCAAGTCCCCATAATCATATTATCTGAAATTTAATGTGTGATTTAAAAACAAAGATATGAAATTTAATGTCTACTACTCCATACTTGCGTTATTAGGATGTCCTGAAGTTATCCTCCCATTACATTCTTTAAAAAGTTTAGACCATTGAAAAGACGTTTTCACTCTTCAACTACCCACAAATTCCACTTTATGTCTTGTTAAATACTCCGTACTACAGTAATTTCCCCGACTAGTAACATTTTCAAGCCAGTATTCAACCTACTCTTAAAACTTGTGCCATTTTCGCATGGGATATAATGGAGGGCATACTTGTTTTAAATTAGCGAGCACCGTCAGTTCATGGGAAAACATCATAATGATAGTTTTTTGCAAGATACCATTGCTCATTTTGTGACCTTCATTTGAATGATTACAGAGAATAAATTTTAGACCCATCATTACCATTGCTCATATTGTGGCTATAGTTTTTATAGTCATGTCCACTCATCAAACATGATTGCTATGGCTGTACATGAATTAAAAAATATTTAGTTCCCATAAAAACCACATTTTGAACACAAATTTTAAACAATTCTAAAACAAGTGATGTAGAGTCCGAGTTTTTCACTATTTAAGATAATTGAGGGGCCACACTTAGAAGAAAAAAGTGAGATTTACCATTAATTTAAATTTCAATTACTTGTTTACTAATACTGCTTTGGCTGTATGTTTAGTCTCTTGAAAAGAAGGCAGAGAAAGCCCTGGAATGTCCTTGCATTGCTCACCTACGGAGTGGCCCCTGTGGTACACAGTTCTCAAATGCTTTCCTCTGCTTTCTTAAAAGCACAGCTGAAGAAAAGGTAATTGGGTCAAAGCTTTCAGTCAAGTTATATTGTTGTTGATCCCTTTCGACTTCCTCTTTAAGGAAACCTTTTCTAGGTCTATATCATCTGCCAGCTCATCACAATTGATTATCAGATTCAAAGTTAATACTAAATGTCTGTTGTTTTTGACTCTTTTCAATCGTATAGTTCAGTCCAACACTTTTAGTAACAACTGAGCCTTAAATCCCACTACGTGGAATCAGCCACATGGCTTAAATGATGCCATTTTTCTACATTGAAATTTGAAAACAAAATCTTTTGATACATTATTATAAGTACAAGGTCATGCTCTATGAGTTCCCAGAGGGTTCTTGAAAACAGACTATTTTGTTTGATCAACCCTTCTCAATGGAATGCTAAGTGGCCTTCGTTGAAACATGTCTGTGCCATCTCAGTTGATATTCTACCATCTTCTCTTCTACAGGTGCCATTCCAACCCATTCTTAAGATGGCCACGCATCCATCTTAACATCATCATCTCAACAACCCTTATTTTATGCTCATCTCATCCTTGTAAAGCCCAACAGTTACTACCTTAGAGAATTGCTGGTCTTATAGCTGTACTGTAAAACCTCCTATTTAGCTCGTGGATTTTTTTAAACCACAAATGACCCTAGTAGCTTTCCTCCACTTACACCATCTGACTTGAATTCTATTATTAACATCTTGATCAATTTCACCAATAGTAAAGCCCCACAGAAGTAGCCCCAAGTAGGGTCTGTAATCAAACTTGCCGTACAGTAGTCTTGTTCCCATTCAGCTAAAAGTGAAAGTTCGTGGGGGCGCAGCGGAAATCACCAATTAAGAACTATGCAAACAAATCAACCAACTGTGCTGCAAAGAAGACGCTGTAGCACTGTCACAGTAATAGATGACAGACAGTGTGCTACAACACTTCTCTGTCACAGGCACACACACAGAAGCAGATGACGCAGAGGACGTTACAGCGTCTACTGGACAGGATGCTGTAACTATAAAAAGCGTAAAAAAATAACACCAGATATGTTTACGCAGTTCGGAGCAAATTCTCCTAGTCTGCGGGGCCCACGTCCGTGTAATAGCCCTCCACTAAATCACTAGATGCAAGTTACACCGGTACATAACAACATGATGAGACACCCTTCTCCGAATTGCTATGACAAAACTTCTAATCTAGGATTTCTAACCCGAACTCTGTTCAGATCCGCTTCGGCTATCACATCTCCACCGAGATCACGAAGACAAACGTGTTGGCAGCCCTATCCTTAAGCTCTGGTTCATCTCCTGGTTGTCACGATCTTGTTTGGCGTTGAAGATCTCCTCCTTCATGTAGATCGTAACCTTCTTCACGCATGGGAAGCTCCGGGACGCGATGGGAATGCTCTACATCAGCGTATATTCTTTGTTTTCCCTCTCAATCGCTCCAAGTAATTCCCAGGGACCAGCTGCGTTTTTATAGACTCCTCTTAACACAATCCTAGTAGGAATAGGATAGTAGAAGTTGGCTTGAACTCTACTTCCTTAATCTTGATCCACAAGTAGCCTAAAGAGTTGGGATTCCTTCACAAGTACAGCTGGAGTTATTATCATGTAATCACAATCCCAATAGGTCTCTAATTCAGATTGCAGCTTAAAATCCCGTGCTCAGATCTCTGATCCCAAACAGTGTGTTTCAGCATCGTGTTGTAGCATCTTCTGTGTCAACCTCGAAAACTGCAGCAACTCTAGAAGTCTAAACAAAATAAACCTCTCCTAACAAATAGAGGTTTCTACCTAGTAAAATACCTAACAAATATGGGATTCTATTTTGCCAAAAGATTAGCCAACACCATGGAACTAACAAAAAGCCTATCAAATCGTGCTTCTGATAAAATCTAACGGGCATTTTTTTCTATTACAGGGCTCAGACTGTGTTCATCCCTTTGTGGATCTCCAGAATTGTATAAAGACAAATCCCAATGCATTCTCGAAGGACATTCTTGATGGCGAGGACGTCAACAAAGAAGATTCACAGAGAGAGGAAGAAAAGCCCATGAAACAACATAAAATCATTCCTCCAATCTGGTCAGCAGAATCCAAAGGCACAAAGCAAAAGCCATAGAGGGATTCTGCTTCTTTTCTCCCTAACTATAGGTCTCTTGTTGAATGTAGGCAGGTACCTTGCTATCAAATCCAAATATACTGCGTCGCGTTCTCCATTCTTAACGGATTTGAATTTTAGTCATCTGACCATATTCTCTCTTAAAAGTTTAAACAATAGAGGGATGAACAGAATGGATAAAGAATAGAATTGGGAATACGATTTTGTATTAGTTTTGTTATAAAGGAAATGCACAAGGAATACTATTTCATATTTCAGTTGACATTGATGAACCAAAAAACATCATGTGATATTCTATATTCCCTCTATTTTGTCCCTTTTTAATTTTTATTTGTTCGTCTATCTATTTTCTCGTGCCATACTCCGCATTTAGTAACATTCACGTGGCTCACGTTCATTCTTACTTATTAACTTCATTGTTTAACACACCAATCTCACTTCACTTAGGACTCATTGGTTTTAATTTTCATTTGGTTTATTCTGCTTACTAGAATTAGTCGTCAATTAGCTTTATAAAAGTTAGTTGATTGAAGAGAATCAAGTAATTGTTTGCTTTCCCTAAAAAAGAGTAATTCTCTTTTGACTTGTCATGATTATTAAAATTGTAAAATTGTGAAATTGTATGCTCAAAATTGTACAAAGTATTTGATATCAAAGGATTTTTTTATTGAGATTGAGACTCTGAAGATCTGTGAGGAATTTAAGATAACGTTTGGAACTAGTATTGCATTTAAATTCTTGCATTTTAATTCCATAATTTGAAATTTTGAATTTAAAATGACAAAAGAAGACATGAATTTGTAATTGAACGCTGTACTGAATTAGAAAATGTCTCAAATCCAAATCTAAAATTTTAAGATTTCTCAAACATGAAATTTGAGTCATATCTAGATTTGAAATCGAAATTCTAATTCCCAAACTTGTCGAGATTAAATTTATAGCCACAAGGAGATGACATGGTAGGATACTACTCCCTTCGTCCCTAAAGAATTACACTTTACGCAAAAATAAAATAACTTAAATTTTTTCAATTTGTTTTATTTAAAGATTGTTAAAGAAATAAAAAATTAAACTTACATTTCTAAAAGTACATAAAAAATTCTACAAAATAAGTAACAAGAATATTTCGTTTCATCAAATAATCGATGAAAACACAAAATAAACAAAAACTCATGTGATTTTTGAATAGTAAAAAAATGTAATTCATTATAGGAGGGATGAGGCATATCGGTTGTCAATCTCCATAATTTTAGGTAAATGAATGTTTTGTCACGAAATGAGCAAAAAAGGTTTTTGAGAATTTCTGATTACTCTATTTGATTTTAGGGTGGGGTTCCCATGACATTGGAATTCAATGTCATGGGATGACCCGAGGCGCTCCGGTGCCCCGTTTGTAAAATTAACAGTTCCTACCCCCCCAAATCCCCCCGATAAACCCTCCACCCTGCCCGACCCGAACACCCCCTACCCCCGTCAATTGTACCCCACAAGTTGAGCCAAAAAAAGAGACAAGAAATGTTGCCCTATTTGGCATGCAGAAGAAATCTACTTTTGAAGATGAGTTTCATAGCAGATCGAACAAACGAACTCAAGAAGATGCACGACGATCTCATTGGTTTTTCTTAAAAATTTGCAAAATGCAGTTCTATTACCAACTAAGTTCCGAACAAAGCGCAAACATTCTTGAGATACATACAAACATAACCACGCTTTACACAATATTCCAATTCATCTGATCATCTCTTGTTTTTCCATCTGGAGAAATTTTGTCTACGCCGAAACCCGCAAACTTTGGAAGCTTCGTAGGAGCAAAAACTCTTGCTCGGACTAACCTTACCCCAACTACTTTGCTGTGAGAGTTGCTCTTTCTTGGTGGATAAAGCCGAACTGAGTTGCTCCCACAGGTTCACGCCACTTTCTATTGATGGAGAGAAAACATTAACTTTTAAATAACATCTTCATAGGCAAGGAATGACCCAGAAATATTGGTAAAGTTGATGGTGGAATCATACCTTTGCCATCACCAGGCATTTCGTTTTCGTGGTTTACATCCATGTTTTCTGGCAAACATCAACAACAATTTGAGTGCAGAATATAATGGGAGTTGTAATAAAATTCTCCAAAAGGAATAGGTTTGCGGGGTGTGTTGTTGTTGCACCCAAAATCAATTAGGGGGCGTTTGGTTCGGGGGTAAGGGAATCAGGAAACGGAATGGGATTCCCTGATTCCCTTTGTTGTGGTTTGTTTTTAAAAAAAAAAATCATTCCCTTTCTCCATTTTTAGGTTTTTGATTACCCTCAAAAGGCTTTTTCCACTCCCCTCTCTATGTCCGTGTTTCCCATTCCTTATTCTAACCGCCCCTTCCCCAACCCTTCCATTTTCCTCTTCGCCTCTCCGTTTCTTCCTCGCCGCTGCAAGCCTGCAACTCCATGCGCCGCAGCAACTCCATCCGACGCAGCCAGGTATCTTCTCCCCCTCCCTTCCATCTCAGTTTATTCCCCCTCTCCAGCTCCGTTCCCCCCACCCCTGCGATTATCCCTCCTACGATTCCCCCCCCCAGCGATTTTTCTGTGTTTTATTTTTTCCATTCGGTTAACTGCTCATCGGAGAAATAGATGATTTTTTGCCCTTTATGTGCTAAAATCCATTTATGTAATGAAAATCTGGAGTTCTTAATGCTTCAATACAACACGATGAGTGTAGTAAAAAACTGTCATGCCCCAAAAATCTCAATTTTTATAATTATTGATACTTTTACTAGTCTTCGGTTTCACAGCACTGGATCTTTTTTATTATGTCAACTTTTTTTATCAGCAAAGTTTAACCATTGAATGACTCAAGCTCTTTCGTACACATTCTTTAATGCTTTAGTTTTTCCCCTGCGATTCGAAATTACTACATATTTTATGACAAAATATCATTCTATGATTTTTGCTTACTTGTGTTTCTTAGATTAGACAAAAATAGGATATGCTTCTTCTTTCTTAAAAAGTCTTTGTGTGACTATGTATGTTATGTTGTCTTGAGTAGTATGATGGAGGAGGGCAATGCGAGGCAATGCGAGTACAGGCGGAAGGGGTCGGAACAAACGCTATTGGACTCCGGAGGAAGATAAAGCTCTCATTGTTGCTTTGTATGAAATGGCTACTGATAGTCATTGGAAGTGTGAGAATGGTTTCAGAAATGGATATATGTCCAAATTGGAAGAGCTGATAAGCAAGGCCATTCCTGGATGTGGGTTGAAAGCTACTCCCCACATTGATTCGAGGTTGAAAATACTTGTTAAAAAGTATAGAGCTATACTGCAAACGTTGGGAACAAGTGAATTCAAACGGGATGATGAAAAGCATACAATTGCTATTGAAAAATCAATGTATGACGAGTATTGTAAGGTACGTTTGTTATCTTCTTTTTTTGTAGTATTATCTTTGAAGTCCACGATTTTATAGGGTAAACATTAACCTAATATATTGTTTTTAGACTCATCCAAATTGTAGGAATTTGTATGGTGTCCCATTTCCTTACCTGAATGAAATGGAGAGTATTTATGGGAAGGACTATGCTACTGGAAAGTCTCTGCCGAGGGCTTTCTTGAAGCCGTTGAGAACTTGGAGAAAGAAGCTACTGTACCACTTAGCCTCGAATCTAGTGATGAGGATGTTGCTGCTGATGGATCTTCCGCCCCTCCTTTAAAGAAGGTGAAAATAGAGCAAAACATGAAAAGAGGAAGAAAGAGTGTTGATATCGCTAAGGGATCACGAACTTCTGAATTTATCAAGTTTGAAAACTTTGCGGATAATATGAATGTTCATCTTTCTGCAATGGCGAATGCCATGAAAAGAGCTGAAGATCGAGAGACGGAGGTCCACGACCGAGAGATGGAGCTTGCGAAGATGAGTGACAAAGTATTGGATGAACTGGTTGCCTTAGAAGGCATTACTACTGATGAAGTGTTGGCAGCAGCAAAAGTTCTTTTAGCCCAACCTCATAAGCTCACACTTTTCTTCAAGTGCTCTAGTGCTTTGAGAACGAGGTATGTCAAAGGTCTTCTAGGTGAAAGTCGAGGAGGAAGGCCATAAGTGCTTGTGTTGGTGTCTTTATTTTGGACGATATTATCTTGTTCATGACAATTGTTTTTTTGTCCTTGTATTGTTGGCATTGTTGTGTTTTTGAAGTTTTAGACAAGTAATGTTTTTTGAAATAGACCTATCATCTTGAAAGTATGTTGTGATGTGTGAATTTTGTTTAATTGTATGTTTGATAAAATAAATAAGTATTATTTTTAACAAATTAATCATAGCTGTGTAAAAAAATTTGATTCCCCTATTTTGAACCAAACACGAACAAAGAGAATTCTATTCCCTTTCCTGTACTGGACCAAGACCAAACAGACAGAGTAATTCAGGGGTAATCATTCCCTTCCCCCCTGATTCCCTTTCCTATTTCCTTTCCCTTTCCTCAGCATGAACCAAACGCCCCCTTAATTTGGTATCTACTCGCTTTTGGCTGCGAGTGTTTTAAAAAAAAAGTCCAATACCAATAAGTAAAAGCAATATGTGGGTAGCTATTTGCTTTCTGACTTATGAGGTTTGAGTGGATTCAGAAATGAGTTTACTCAAGCTAATTTTCCCATGACCAAACACCAAATTGTAAAAGCTTCTTAAAATAAGCAACGAGCAGAACTTTACTTTTTTTGGGAAACTCTCAACGATGTACAGCTGTAATTCTCATACACATTTCACTTTAGAAAATGAAACTAGTACCTTGAACATAAGGTATTGACTTATGATTGTTGCCAATTGAATGTTCTGGTGTGTTGCTGGTGAGACCATCACTGGCACGAGCAGAATCTTCTTTTGAAGAGTGAAACATGGTGGGTTTTAGAGCACGAACATCAACGAGGGAAGACAAATCTATCTGCATTAACAGTTCTTAGTTTAGAAGCTGCACAGAATGGGAAAGTTATACCAATGATATGGAGAGGGGGTTACCTCAACTGATCCATCCTCTTTGTGAAGACAATTACTAGGTAGCATTGTGCATGCACCTTCGCGCGGCTTATTAGAACAAAACGGATATCCAGCAACAGGCATCAATGACACTCTACTTGTTTCAGAATTGAATGACGACACTCTGCCAACCTTCAGTAAAAGGGAATGTTGAAACACTTTCTTGGGACCACTAATCAAAATACAAAAGTATATTGCGATGAAATACATGGTGAGAGGAAAGGTCAGCAGTCCAGTTGGACGATAACTCAAGCAGCCGGTATGCAATAACATCACCATCCTACAACAAAGAGAATATCGTTTGATGCACAATAATACTGCTGATTGTAAAAGTTAAAGAATATGCAGTGCTAGAAGGCTATGTATGGAATGTTGCACAGCATTGATTGCGTTTTCTTTAAGCCTCCAGGAAAATGTTAAAGGCAGGAAATTCATCATGAACAAAAGGCAGAAATTAGAATCCAGTAATACACTCGGACTAACCTTTGGTGTATCATAGAGGGATGGAAGCTTAGCAAAGTCAATAGATCCATTACCATGTGTAAAAATTTCAGCACTTGACATTTCAGAGGAGTCATTATGAGGCTCATTGTTTTCAATTCCTTGAGAAATCTTGTTGCTTTGTTTCTGATCCTTTTTTGGGCTTATGCCATTCACAACAAAATTTTCCTGAAGCATAATTTGAAATTCAGCATCATTCACAAAACTTGAGAGGAAAATAATAGATTTTATATTTATCTCAAGGAAAAAATGAAACGATTCGAAGTATTACTAACAAACTCAGAAAAAAATTTGTACTTCCTCCATCCCTAAAATTATGTCTCTCTTCAAACATGCGAAATCCCATCGTTTTTAAAATTATTTTATTTACAAATTGGTATAGATATAAATAAAACAAATTACACCATTCAAAGCTATATCAAAAGTTCTGCAAAACAAGATGTGACAAGAATATTTTATTTTATCAAACGGTCAATAAAAACGTGCGAAAAAACGAAAGTTATCGAGAGGCCGGAATAGTAACTGTGACAAGATTTTTGGGGCGTAGGGAGTAAAAATTGGTGGCATCATAATAAGTTACTAATTGAAAATAATAGAAGAACAGTTTTTTTTATGTTTTAGCTCAATTGAGTAGGATGGAGTACTACACGAAAAATCAATGTTCTACTCAAGAATCATATCAAAAAACAAAAATATCTTACCCCTTTATCTTGATTCTGTGTTACAGCTTGTTCTGCACCAACCAGAAAATTCTTGTGTTAGATTCTCTATGATACAGCATACTATATACCCGATGAGTTCGTCCAGTTTGCTTTTTACACAGAGACTGGGGAAAAGCATAAAGAAAAGAGAAAGTTAAAAACACACCTCTATCTTTTTGTACTAAATGAAGGTTTGGTTACATAGTTGGGTGTAATAATTGTAAAGGAGCAAGTGTAAAATAGTAAGATGATCTTTAGTTATTTGTAAGATAAGGGAAGTGGACAAACACATTGGGACAAACCAAAAAGGAAAAGTGGACAAACTTATCGGGACGGAGGGAGTATATACATTCTTCATTCATTCCAAAAACAGACCAGGTCATGCTACAGTAATAGATAGTGCTCATGCCTCTAAACCAGTAAATGCAAGAGAGCAACAAAGATAATGCATATCAGCCTATCTGTGTAAACTGTAAACTGAGAGAGAGAGAGAGAGAGAGAACACAAGACCTTTCCCTGAAAGCTCAGAGCATACATGTTCTGGCCTTACTTCAACAGGAACAGCTTGACCATTAATATTATTATTCTTAACAGGCTCATCACAGGAGATACTTTTGGAACTTGCATGTGCATGGTTGCTGTCTTTAGCCATATCCTTGCCAAGCAACCCCTTCCAATATAACTGAAAAAACAGTGTGACAAGTTAGCTCATGTAAATGGGGAACTACGTGATAAATTTTATATTGAATTGTATTACTCACAAGTCCTTTGGGTTGACCATGTGTTAAAATTTCAGCACTTGACAGTTCAGAGGATTCATTATGGGGCTCATTAATTTCAATTCCTTGAGAAATCTTTTTGCTTAGTTTCTGATCCTTTTTTGGGCTTAAGCCATTCACAGCAAATTTATCCTGTAGCAAAACTTGGAATTCAGCATCATTCACGAAACTTGATAGAAAATAATAATTTTAGTATTTCTCTCTAGGAAAAAATAAAACAATGAGTATTACTAACAAACTCAGCTAACAGAATTTTGTAAAAATTAGTGGCATAATAATAAGTTAACAACAACCAAGCCTTATCCCACATTGTACCCTATCAAGAACCATATCTGCAGCGAGATCATTCATGCGAAGGTCCACTTTGACCACTTCGTGCCAAGTCTTCTTAGATCTACCTCTTCCTCTAGCCACATGTTTAATCACCATTTGATCAACCATTCTCACCTGATGCTCTATGGGTCTTCTCTCTACATGTCCAAACTACCTTAGACGGGCTTCCACCATCTTCTCTATTATAGATGTCACTCCAATTTTAGCACTCATATCTTCATTCCTTATTTTATCCATACGTTTATGACCGCTCATCCATCAAAGCATCTTCATTTCGGTCACACTAACCTTGTGTTCATGTTCGCCCTTTGCTACCCAACACAACACTCTGTTCCATACAACATAGCTAGTCTAATTGCGGTACGGCAAAACTTTCCCTTGAGTTCGAAAGATATTTTTTTGTCACATATAAAGCCCAAAGCATTCCGCCATTCTGACCAACCTGCTTGAATCAAGTGGTTTACATTATCCTCTATTTCTCCATTGTCTTGAGTGATACACCCAAGATACTTAAATCTCTTCACTTATGGTATAGTATTTTCTCCAACTTTCACTTCAATGCTAGTATTTCAAATTCTATTGCTAAACATGCACTCCATATACTCTGTTTTAATGCAGCTAGTACGCAAGCCATGCAACTCCAAAACCTGTCTCCACGAATCCAACTTCCCATTTAAATCCTCTCATGATTCGCCCATAAAGATGATGTCATCGGCAAAAAGCATACACCATGATACGGGTTCTTGGATATGCTCGGTAAGCACTTCCAAGACTAGTGTAAAAAGATATGGGCTTAGCGGTGACTAGTTACTAACCGCAAAAAATAGAACATGTATTTTTTTAATGTTTTAGCTCAACTGAGTACGATGGAGTATTGCATGCAAAATCAATGTTTTACTCAAGAATCAGATCAAAAAACAAAAATATCTTACCCCTTTATCTTGATTCTGTGCTACAGCTTGTTCTGCACCAACCCGAAAAAATCTTGTGTTAGATTCTCTATGTTACAGCATACTATATATTCACTGATAGACTAAGGAAAAGCAAAAAAAAAAAAAAGTTACGAACATGCCTCTATCTTTTTGTACTAAATGAAGGGTTGGTTACCTAGGTTGGGTGTAGTAAATATAAAGTAGTAAGGGTAAAATAGTAAGCTTATCTTTAGTAATTTGTCAAATAAGGGAAGTGGTCAAACTCATTGGGACAACCCAAAAAAAAAAGTGGACAAACTCATCGGGATGGAGGGAGTATATACATTGATTCCAAAAACAGACCAGGTCATGCTAGTGATGCTACAGGAATAGATAATACTCATACCTCTAAACAAGTACATGCTAGAGAGCAACAAAGATAATGCATATCAGCCTAACTGAACTGTAAACGTAGAGAGAGAGAGAGAGAGAGAGACCTATCCCAGAAAGCTCAGAGCATATATGTTCTGGCCTTACTCCAACAGGAACAGCCTCACCATTGATATTACTATTCTTAACAGGCTCATCACATGAGAGACTTTTGGAACTTGCATGTGCATGGTTGCTTATGTCTTTAGCCATATCCTTGCAAAGCAACCCCTTCCAATATAACTGAAAAAAATGGTGTGACAAGTTTGCTCATGTATATGGGAACTACGTAACAAATTTTATATTGAATTGTAATACTCACGAGTCCCTTGGGTTGACCAGGGGTTTCTTCTATTTCAGCTCCGGCTCGCCTCGGTGCCCAAGATTTCTAGATATTCATGAAATGAGCTTTAACTTACCAGATAGTATGTAATAGAAACAAAAGCTTTATGCATTTGCATTTTACTGAAACATCATTGTTGTTGGCTTACATTCTTTTGTCTTTGATCACTATCTCGTTCCTTCTTCCATTTCCGCTGCAAATTCAGGTTATGAGATAATGGTCCAGGCTATAAGTTGCCAAAGGTCCATGTCCACCATAATGGGAAACTTTGTGCATATTCAATCACTTACAGGCCCTTTTTGTAGCCTAGCAGCCCCTTCTTTAACAGATTGCATCCCCTTCGAATTGCTCTATACAATCAAGAGCAGATGTTGAGAACAATTTCTTGAAAGTGAAGTCCATTGTTTGTGTATTATTATGCGAACAAGTACCTCTAATTGAGAGTTGTCATTTTCTTTTAGAATTTTAATCATTTGCCGAATCAACCGCCTCTTGGTGTATTGTCGCCTCGAACTCCTGCTAGGGCCCTGATGAAATCAAGTATACACTTTCACGAGCAAGAACAATTTAAAACAAGGTTGAGATAAAATCACATTAAGAGATACTAATGATTGGAGAGAGAAAAACACACTTCAATGGAAAATATGATGCTCCTAAAATGTACTTATGAATGTCATTTGAAGACAAGTTACCCTTAAATTCCCTTATACAAGCTACATAACAACAATTCAAAGTATTTAATGTGTGGTGAGCTATTGCAAATACAGTTTTCCATACAGTATCTTGAAAACAAATAGAGAGAGAGTTAAATGCTTCAGAGAATAACATATTCCAAAATATGTAACAAAAACTGAAAAAGCAAAAGGTCTCAAAAGATTAGCTTCAATAAAATCTTAAGATCTGATTAGAAATACCTTTTTTCTTTCCTCTGGCTTTCCTGTGACAGCGAAATGATCTTTCCCAGATTCAAGAATCTGATCATTTCTAAGGTAACAAAGAAACAATTACTGTATGCCAGCGTGCACTTGGATATCACAAGATTATTTCAAGAATATAAGCAACATAGGAGGGACAGGGTTGGGTTCTTGGGGAGTTAACAAGAAACAATAAAGTAAGAGCTGTATATATGAGTTGCCTCTTTTTTCCTTTGCAATTTAAAATCAATGCAAGAATCAAATTGGGGAAATGTTTCAAAAACGTGGTGTCAATATGAATAAAAAAATACAATAAGATGGTGGGAAAACAAATAAAATCACAATTTAAACAAGGATCAAACACATAAGTCCACATAAGATTTAGGCTAACGAGCGACAACACATACTTAGTAATGTCAGGCATAGTGAAATTGTTTTCACTCATTTCAACAGTTTCTCTATTACTTTCAGCCTTATTCATCCCGCGTGGTCCACATACTTTTTGTTGATTTTTACTACTTTTCTTGGCTGTCAGATTTTGTTTAGATTCCTTGGTTAGCTCTGGTTGATCATCCATGTTACACCCCCCTGCAACTTGATGACACTTTTTCTTCTTTCTGTATTCACAAAGATCATTAATTTTCATTAGTTCCAACTATACAGGAGGCATAATTGAGAAAGAAAAGAAAAACATAACAAAATGAATTCTGACATGGAGAATATGGTTCATACTTTGGGCTGTGAAGCTTCCCTGATGACTTTCTTTTCTTGGAGACTGGAACTCCATCATATGAGTCACAATCATCCACCTGGTCTCTCCCCCCCTTTTCAGATTCATGCACCTCATAGCCTCCAGTTTCAATGTCAAATACCTCATGTGGTAGAGCCATAGCCTCCAGTTTGGTTTTTGCAGTTACTTTCTCAACAATTTGGAAATCATCCGCACAATTAGATGCATCACATTGAATAGCCAATGAGCCGCCCTTCTTCTTCACACTAACATAATAAAGAGGCTATGTTAGAGACCACACAGTTCACACAAAATTACTATAAAAGCATCAAAAATTACCTGATCACATCTTTATCTTTGAAGAAACAAGTTGACTCAAAAGGCGGTAAGACAAATCCATCCATCTGCATGCAATTAAGAACAAAACAAATGCAATTTAAATTTAATTTCAGAATCAGTAAAATCTACTCCCTCCGTCCCAATTTGATTACAAATTTTTTTCTCTCTCCTCTCGATGACTTTTGTTTGTCTACGCGATTTCATTAAGTATTTGATAAAATAAAATATTCTTGTCACCTCTTGTTTTGTAAAACTTTTGACGTAGTTTTTTAATATGTACTCTCTCTGTCCCACAAAAAAGTTCCCATTTTGAATAGTATTTAGTCAAGTATTTACACGCTTTGACTACAAATTGTGAGAAAGGTATATTGAATTATAAAATAAATTTAATATAATTGGATTCATCTTAGGATCTAGTTTTGATATCTCAAATTTTTTTAGCATTTCTTTATTTAGATTATATTTAATTTATGGTCAAAGCGTGTAACTGTTTGACCAAAAATACATCAAAATGGGAACTTTTTTGTGGGACGGAGGGAGTAATTTTTATTTCTTATCGATATACTGATTTGTAAATAAAATGATTTCAAAAAGTGAGATATATCTTCTCTTAAACCCCAATTTGATTACAAATTGGGGACGGAGGGAGTATTAAACATTCCCAAATCCAGACATTTTTATGAACTTCTCTTCATCGTCACTCACTAGCAGCCCCATTAACACATTCTCAAATATTTACTGTTTTTTCCTTCTACATTTTACCATAAATTCAAAAGAGCCCATGTTAACAATGTGTTAGCTTTAGTTAGATGATAAACTGAATAAAAAGGACACATTAAACTTTTTATGAAGTTTTGGATAGAAAATGCAGCAATGCATCAAGGGTTTACGACTGCACATCTTGACCCCTACACCCCAACAGAGTTGGGTTGTTTTGTTGATAAAAAAAGTGTGGAGCCAATGTAAGAAAAAAATAAGCACATGGCTTTGTTTGGGAACGGCGCTTATCAATGGTGTTGAGTAAATTTGAAAACAACAGAGTTGAATGCTGCCATTAGATATAGCTTTTTCAAAACATTAAAGCTAAACACTCAAACTGTTGCCAAACAGGCACATAATCGAAAAACATATTAGCCTGCATTTCCAGATAATCAATAAAAGTAACAAAAATCATCTCCATCAGTCAGATTGGGGAAAATTAAGGCACGGTAGCCCATGAAAATGGCGAGAATAATGTACCGATAGGAGGAGGCCATGGGAGCAGGAACTATGCAGTTGGAAGTTGTGGAGAAGATAAGAAGAGAGGTCAGATATGATTCGGTGATGCTTAGGGTTGATGAGAAGCCAGCTTCTGTCCAGACCCTCTGATTTCTGGGAGGCATTGAGGATGCCCTCGTCCTCGAACACCACTTTGATCCTTAAACCTTCCTCCATATGTATATCGGTGCTTGCAGATCACCAATTGCTCCAGTTCACCCTCATCAAGCTTCAACCTCGTACCTAGCTCCGGCGTAATTGTGTAAACCCTCGGACTCTGGGAGGTGCGTTGGTTTGAATTTCAGCACTTCATCGTAGCACAGATAAGTGAAATATGGGGACTTCTTTTTTAACACTAACAACTGTAAAAAAATTGCTGCTCAATGGGGCGTTAGCTATATCCATGTCTATATCCACTTCATTTATGTGTAAATGGATAATTTTGTCTTTAAAAACACAGAAAGAATATTGGATGTTAGAGTGAATTTAGTCATAATAAGAGTAGACATATCAACACCCATTATAATGTACTCCCGTAGTATTTTTATTATACACTCTCAATCTAAGAGCAACTCTAACCCATAGTGAAAAAAGTGGTAGTGTAAATGTTATTTTACATTGTCAACAATGTTTTACACTTTTACTTTTTTAGACTTACTTCAATCATATCTTCTATATAATATATTTTTATAATATCTAATATTTAATTCATCATTTAAATGGTAATCTACGAAAAAACAAATCTACAAATTAAATCCGAAGTTGCAGATCAAAATGAAATTACAGTTGGCTGCATCAAAATGAAAAAAGACTGCTCCATAATTTTTTAATTGTTTTACACTATCTACATCAAAGTGTATAAATAGGGGGTGAGAATGGATTTTTACACTATAGTGCATTTTAGCCTTACATTTACACAATCCCTTGGGTGACAAAAAATAAACATGATAGTGCATAATGGATATACTATTTTACAATATACACAATCCGCTGGAATTGCTTTAAGAGCAACTCCATCATATAGGCTATATGATAAAATTTACAAAAAAATACACTTTATGATTGATTTTTTGACACTCCAAGGGAGAGTGTAAAACAAATGTTAAAATACAATATAGGGTAAAATGCAATTGGCAACGTGTATTTTTACAAGTTGATTGTAGATAAGGAAAAGAATAAAAACGTATTAGGGAGTATATTATACTCTCTCCGGTCCTAAAAACATGAGAGTTATTGATTTTTAAGATATTTAAGGAAAGTGTATTTTGGTATTAATTTTAAAAAAAAAATCTTTTATGTAATAGGTAAAAATAGGATTTGATGGATAGATTATTAATAAAAAGTATGATGTGATAAGTAGGGCATGAAAAAATAAGGAGTAAAAGTGACTTTTATATAGAAATAAGATCTATTTTTTGGGACGGATGAAAAAAAAGAAAAAGGTTTTCGGAGACGAAGGGAGTACAAAAAATTGTTGGAGTAAGTATAAAAAAGTAGAAGTATAAAATACTATTGATAGTGTAAAATAAAATTTGCACTACCAACTTTTACACTACACATTGGAGATGCTCTAACCATATAGAGTCATTAGCCTTATTGGAGATCATACATGTGACTTCTCATATGGGGAGTTGAACATGTGACTTCCCATATGAGAATAGTTATGTTTTTAGGCCTCGTTGGGTACACGGAATTTACAGAATAGAAATTAAATTGGAAATTGAAATTCTATGGATTTGATTTTGATAGAATTGAGTTCTCCAACTCCAATTCGTTTGTGGCACTACTAATTCCAAATCCATATATTTTTGTGCTACCAAAAAGCAAAATTTAAATTATTATTTCTAATTACAATTTCATGGGTTGAATTATGTATATCAAACAGAACTTTAGTGTGCATGTATTAAATTTTTAATATTATTGATCTTATTATAGTGTAATATATATTCATTTGTTCTCATATGACGATATATATGTGTTTTTTTGTGTGTGTGTTGAATTTTTTGCACTTCCCATATGGTGCAAAGTGTAACAAAAAATGATACTCGTACTACTATAGAACCTTGAAGTCTTGAACCGACAAATAAGACAAAGTAATGTTCATTCCCGGAGTACACCATGCCGTAGCACTACCGTGTGATTGACTGATTGTTGTAAATTACAAATTGACTTCTGTATAAATTTGAATGATGAATAATTCTGAATTGATTATATTCATTACCAAAATAACAAAAACGATTTTCAATATGAAAAAATAAATGTTTGAGCAGATATATTTGACTATTTGTTTTTGGTTGTAGTAGTTGCAACACCTTAATCCGTCTCCTACATGGAATGCTTTAACTTATTTTTATCACTTTTTTTATTAGAATTAAATCAGTTCAAATCAGATCAGAAATAATTTTAAATATAACTAATTCCGATCTGATCAAACCAAGATTAAAACTTATTTCAATCAAAACAGAACCATTCAAATCAGGTGAAGAGAACATGACCTAAACTAGGATAGAGAGTATATTTGAACACAAATATTATAAAAATGTATTAAATCAAAACCTTTTAATGTCATAAAAATGTATTAAATCAAAACTATTTAATGTCAAATCGAATACATTGTTGATGACAGACAAAGCAGCAGAGTGAGCTAAAAGAACAAAAACCCAATCCATCAAAATTACACCCGGAATGATCATAGTAAGTATCTGAAACTGAAATATAACAAAGTAGCATTGAATAAGTCTCATAGCCAACGCGAAATAATTTAAATAAAAAGAAATCCATACACTGATTCGTTTAAACTTTGCAAAACTTCGTTCAAACCTCATAACCTGTAAGATAACAAATTGTAAGAACAGGTTAATTATCGCAGTATATATAATACTCAGTAGCATACTACCAATTATAAGTGAAGAAAAAAGACGCAAAAAATCAGAGCAATACTAGGGGAACCCCACTTGTGACACAGACAAACATAGAAAATGCCAGGGTAACACCATAGATGACACCATCGGTGAATTTGTACACACACAGATGATAATCGTCTCTGAAACAAATTCACAGGGAATCAGAGTGTTGTCAATGGTGGTGTCAACCGTGGTGGGTTTCTAGCATGACTCGACAAACATAGACACTCATTATGTGTGTGTTTGACTTTGGTGTTAACAATGGTGTCAAAAGCAGGGTAAAACAGTAGAGCCATGTACCTTAACGCCTTTGTGTTTTCCCGATAGAACGCTTTCCAGAAAACAAGTGCTTTGGTCTCAGATTAGGAATGGTGCGATCAGCTTCTCCGCGGCGAGCATCCTTGTTCCTCTTCTTTGAAGATTTCTTAGCCAAAATAATGGCCTTACGCTTCTGTTCAGAGTCTTTGAAGCCCTCCCCAGGAACCACTTCACCTGGAGGCCTGGACTTTGACCTAGACCTAGATCTAGATGACACCCTCAACTTCTTCTTGGGAGTCTCCTCATCACCATCCACATCCATTGAGTCATCTTTCCCAACAACGGACCGTTCCCTTTTTCGGCCCCTTGATTGACTGCGAGCCCTGTTGACTGCAAGGGTAGGATCAAGTCCAAGGTTAGACAACTGCCTTCCCATTCTCTCTGTGGTGAACTTTTTGTCCTTGTCGAATTTCCTTGGCACTACTGGTCTACTCTCTGCAGTACTCTTCTTAATCCGATGTTGTTGGATCAGCACACTCTTCTTTCTCCTGATCTCAGCCAATGCAGCTTTTTCTTCGGGTGTCAGCTCGGGCCCACCATCCATCTCGAAATCACCATCACCTTCTTCTTGCTCTTGCAGAAGCCCTTCTTCTTTCTCCAATTCCTCCAGCCTTTGCAGGAGATCAGGATCAATGAAGTCATACACATTGTGTCCATCAAGAATCTCTGGCATTATATCATCCTTCCAGGACTCGTCAGCCAAGATGTAGTGCTTGCTCAGTTTAGCAGAGTACACACCTGCACCTCCATTCTCAGCCTCAAGATCCCTTTCAAGCTTTCTCTTCTCTTTCTCTGCAACTTCCTCTGCTTCCCTTGCTCTGGCTTCCAGCACTGACTTGGGTATACACGGAGGCCTTTCTTTCTGGTCACGAGGTTTTGGGATCGCAACATGGAAACGGTTTAGGCAGTCGTTTAGCTTCTTTGATTTCATCTTGACCTCAACCCTTTGGTTCAACAGCCTCTCACAAGCAGCATTCTTCACCGAAATCACGCCTTCTTCGGTCAAAGCGCTCATAGTCAAAAGCACTCCTTGATCATCTGTGGGCTCCCCGCCTTGTCCGATCACAGTCTTCATAGCTTCTTCCTTCATCTGCATGACCAACCTCTTGTCTTCCTCAGATATCCCATCCAAAGGCTGCAAATCAGTTTTGTTGCAAACTATGACCAAGGGTTTGTTCAAGAAGAGGGACTTTATGCTGTGGAACAAAGCAGCTTGCTGTTCAATAGTGTAACCGCAAGATCCAGAAATGTCGATGAAAAACAAAATGGCAGCTCTCAGATGAGCCAAAGCCGTAATACTGCACATTTCAATGATATTACGATCTTCAAAGGGCCTGTCCAATATTCCTGGAGTGTCAATGACTTGATACCTCAGGTACTTGTAGTCAGTGTGACCCACAAACAAGGACTTCGTGGTGAAAGCATATGGTTGCACATCCACATCTGCTCTTGTGATCTTGTTAATGAAAGAGCTCTTGCCAACATTTGGGTACCCACAAATCAAGAGTGTCCTTGTGTTTGGATCAATCGAAGGCAATCTCGACATGTGCTGCCTGATCTGCTCAAGATAAGCTAGACTGGGTGTGATTCGCTTTAGCACAGTACACATGCGTCCCAGAGCAGCAATCTTCAAAGACTTGCAACGGTACAGTGAATCACCATACTTCAACATCTTCAAGTAATCCTTTGCAATTTTAGAAATCAGATTCCTTGCGGTGTTTATTTGGCCAAGGGCAAGCTTGTAATGGTCTTTGTTATAGAGGACATGGAGCAGGTCCCCATAGAAAGGATGGATATCATCAAGCCTGGGGAACTCAGTGATGATGGTGGAAAGCTTTTCATGGAAATTCGTTTGTGTATATTTAACTTTGCGCATATAAAACTGACGGATGCGGGATATTGCATAGCCCTTGTGAACAACAGTGGGTGTCTGCCTCTGCGTGCGAGAGAGAATGATATCCACAAAATCCTTCCCATTGGGAACAATGGTGATCTTCTTAAAGTTATACTGCACCATATCTTATGGCCTGATCTGATCCTTCCTCTGCATGAATGGAAACAGCACAAAAAATGAGGAGCATCTACAGATCAATCTATAAAATAACAAATTACAATAAAAAGGTGGTTACTTGTTTCATGAAAGATACAAATAATCAAAATATAGAACGGGTAATAAAAACATATTAAGATAAAAAGCTACCAGAAACAGAGTTCTTAAAATAATAGAAAATATTGAAAATAAATTACATACTACCTCCATCGCAGAGTATTTGTCCAATTTTACTTTTTTTAGTCAAATTGGATAAACTTTGGTCATCAATAAAATTATAATTATACTGCACTCACTCTGTCCCAAAAACAGTTTCTTATTGAGGTGACTCGAACTCAAGACCTCCTACAAGAGGAGAGTCTTAAATGGGGATTGTTAACCAACTTTGACCATTCCAACTTGTCAAGAATCATTAGATAAGTAAAAAGCAAGGTTGACATTCTTAAGAAGGTACCACACTGGATGCGTTTCAAATACGAATTAAATGAAAATTTTGAAAAAAACAAGCAAATTATACCACACTTTTAAAAACAATATAGGGAGGACAGGAGTTTTACATGGGAATAATAATATGAATACATGTACTATAAGCAATTTAGCTAAAAGAAGGATGCTTCTAATAAATGGGAAAAAACTAGAAAATATAAAGGAACACACAAATTTCAGAAATTATAATGCTTATGTTTCTTTAACCGGTAAACAAATTACTATGTTTATGTTAGATGTGGACTTAAGAAACATAAGGATTCTATAGGCACAAGAAAACATAGCACTTTAATTTAAGATATAAACTAGGGGTGAACATCGGTTCGGTTCGACCGGTTTCGGCCCAAAACCGAAAAAACTGAAAATTAAAAGTACTCAAAATAACCAACCGAACCGAACCGAATTAAAGCGAGAACCGAACAAACCGAACCGAGTAAAAACCGATCGGGTTCGGTCGGTTTGAAAAAACTGAATTTTTCAATCTAAAAACCTTCTGCCTACTGCTGCATATATGAAGCATTTCTCAAAATTTTTAAGTAATAGCAAAAAAATCTGTCCACAAACATAAAAGGCTTAAACATAAAACATGGATCAAACATGGCTGGGTTTTTTTCCTCAAATTACACACTTAAATCAATCACCATCTAACAAATTAAAGACTACTTCGTATAATATTAACAGCTCCTTGGGATTGTTGCTGCTGCTGCTCGGGAATGGGGATGACGACAAGCTCCATACTGATGCGGCAATGAGCTGTGATGATCGTCGGCCATGGCCCTTGGGTAGTAATGCATCTAAAAGAATAATAATTAGCAACAAAAAAGAATGAACAAACCTGGTGATTGTCGATTGGTGATGCCGGAACAGAGATGGCGATTGCCAATTAGATCTTGGCGTGAATGGCGTGGGTTTGAGAACGCAGGAACCGGGAGAATGGGAGATGGTGATTGCCGATTGCTGAGGACCAAGAAGGCGAGAACGACACAGTAGGGTTGGGATTTGAGATTTTTGCCGAGTGCCGACTTGGGACTTGGGAGACGGGTTGGGAATTGGGTTGGGAGAAGGAGGGCTGGGTATTGGGCTTTTTATGTGGGCTATAACTAAAAGATTTGATCCAGGTTTAAAGATGTTTAATAATTAATACACATTATGGGCTCGGTTATTCGGTCGGTTTCGGTTAACATTGCCCAAAACTGAAACCGATAACCGAATTAACCAAAATTTTTTTACATTAAAACCGAAAACCGAAACCGAATTTAAAATAGCGGTCGGTTTGGTTAAATTGTATTGGTTAAACGGTCGGTTCGGTTAAATTGCTCACCCCTAATATGAACAACAAATAGCTTAACTTAAACTGTTAAAGAAAGTATTAATAGAAAACTGCTGTCCAAAATCTAAACTTATGGTGTAAACTTTCAGAATCATCAACCAAACCATCATTTGAATCATGGGTTAAAAAACTAAAGAAGGGGTTCACCAGCAGTCCTTCCCTATTTTCTAGTTCATATTAGCCCATTTTAGGTTCAGCCCTAACTCTAAACCCTACTACCCTTAGCAACCAATGCACCAGCCCCACAAGTTTAATTAAGGTTAGTTCCTTGAGATCTTCGAAAAACATCATATAAAACTTGAATTATTTAACCAAATAAGTATAAAAGCCCTATTTTAAAAAAAACAATTTGTGCCAGCTAAGTACCAAATAGATGATACTTATGTTTTGAGCCATTACAACAACTATACCATTGGATTCTTAAATTGTCAATTTCAATTCAGTTTTGGTGGACATTCTAAATGAAGCCCATATTAGTTATTAAACATTGAAAGCAGTTTATAAACACCATTAATTTGAAATAGACAGCAGCCTTTGAGCCTAAAACTCAAAATAAATCTTGAATGCTATTCAGAATATCCAAATTGAGCTCTTAAACAAACTGAACTGCTTTTTTAGTTTCAAAACAAAAAAAAAAACATTTTCTGGACACATACTAACGAGAATCATATGAAAACTTAATCATATTCATGGCATGACTTTTGAAAAACTTCAACGGGCAGCAAAAAAAAGGGTTCAAAACAGAAAAGCAGAACTCCTAATCTCACATTTGAATTTCTGAAAACACACGGCGGAATAACACAAAATAATACTCAGTTTTCTTATATTGAAACGACTCCATAATCTCTGATAAATCCCATCCAAAATAGACTGAAGAAAAAATTGCACATATCTGAACTCCTGGGACACAAATTACACATAATTGAGAACAAAATTGTTCATCTAGCTCAATGAACATAGAAAATGAAGGAAGAAAAAGAAAAGGAACAGGGGTTTGAATCGAAGATTCAAAGACCCCATAGGGATTATACCCCTTTGGCGATCTACAATTCAATTCCGTTTTCTGCTGACTGAAGCTGCTTTCGATCGAACTCTTGGAATTAATCACCAAATCGCCGCTCTCTCACGTGTATTGCTGCGGCGCTGAGAAGAGAAAAAGTTCGGCTGGGGTTGTCTTACAAAAACGGACAGGGTGAGGCTGTATTGGGCCTGGCCCAATCATCAAGTCCAATCAATTCCTTCTCATATCTTCCTCAAGCATTTTGTGCTCCAGAAATTAATGAGTAATTAATTAAAAGAGTTGTTAGAGTCACATATAAAGTGATCACAAAATTTATAAATTTATTTTTTTTAAATTTATTAAAAATAGAGTTATATTAAATAGTTAAAACAAAATAATAAACTCGGAGTATATTTTAGTTTTAATTTTAATTATAAAACTTTGTTGCCTCTTCTTTTAATTTTTCATTAATTAAAATAAATTTTATTGTTAATACATTGAGTGACCGTTCATTTTTTATAAAATCTTCTATTTTCTAAAGATTATACCAATATGAATTTCATGATTTTTTTAATCTACATAGTTAATTTATTGTTTTAAAAAGTTGCTTTTATAAATTTTACTCCCTCCGTCCCTGAGTGTTTGTCCACTTTCATTTTGCACACCATCTAATGCACTTCTTTAATCCATTTTATCTTGTAATTTGTATATTAAAAAATTATAAAAATTATATATTAATAATCTATATGTTAAGACGAATCAAACAAGATCACTCATGACTATTTTTAGGCTTACACATTGAGAGAATTTAATGAGTCGAAGTGCTTGGATAAACAGTTCCTAAAGTCAAAAGTGGACAAACACTCAGAGACGGACCAAGTACTTAAAAACCTTTATAGAGAGTATAAACTTTAAAATTATTCACTATTATTCTCTTTTATTTATTTTCAAGAACAAACGTCTATATAAATTTTAATAAGTGTGAATTAGTATTGAAGCTACAACTTTTATTTTAAAAAGATACCATATCTAATAACAAAAATAAACTTCGTATTTAGTAGAATGAAAAATTATTATTATTATTATTAAACTATTACTCTTATATTATGATTCAAACTAGAATTAAAATTGAAAAATGTTCTTTATGAGAAGTTTCATTCCCAAATATTAAATGCTAAAGTCTAAAGTCTTTCCACATAAATAGATTTAAAAAAAGACTTTGAGGTGTTCTCTTTTAAATTTATATATGAGAATTTTTGTTCCCAAACATTAAATGCTAAATGATTTATTTTACTTTGATTTTAATAAAATGTCTATAGTGTTAAAGAATTCATTATATATACTTTCATAGAATCATTTAAAAATATTACATTGAAAATAATTTGGAGAAGTGACAAAAACTTCGTTCAACCCGTGCATCCCACGGGTTAAAATATTAGTGTGTGTGTGTGTGTGTGTGTGTATCTCTGTGTGTGTGGGTGTGTGGGTGTGTGTGTGTGTGTGTGTGTGTGTGTATGATTTTTATTATTAGGCAAAACGTTACTTTCGTAACTGTCAAAGACCATACTCCCTCCGTCCCCTTGTATTTGTCCACTTTCATTTTTACACACCATCCAATGCACTTCTTTAATCCATTTTATCTTGTAATTTGTATATTAAAAAATTATAAAAATTATATATTAATAATCTATATGTTAAGACAAATCAAACAAGATCACACATGACTATATTTAGGCTTACACATTGATGAGTCAAAGTACTTAGATGAACATTTTCAAAAGTCAAATGTGGACAAATACAGGAAGACGGAGGAGGTGCTGTACTCGTTTATAAAACCTGTTTGGAACGAAAAGAGGATACACTCTTCATTCTTTATTAGGGAGTAATTATTGTCACTTTCATGATAAATTCCAATAAATATGAACAAAAGTAAACACATTTTAAGAATACATCATTCATTTTTTTTTGATGTTTTATCCATTTGTAGATTGGACAAAGTACTCTAGAGTTTCAAATAATACTCGGGAGTGGGGGGACTTAGTAGGAATGTAGGATTAGTGGTTTAATTTGCACAAAAATAATTAGGAGAAGTAATTAATTAACTTGGGCAGGACGAAACTACGAAAGTGGGAGTCCAAGGAGTGGTAGGATTAACATGGCCCTAGCCTATATATACCTACACATTTTTTTTAATTACAAGAGATCTTCAAATTAAACAAACAAACAAACTCCAATTTCTTGCGAATTAAACGATCAGTTACTAATTAATCACAGTGCGATCATGACGAAGAAGAAGACTATGGCGGCCTTGTTGTTGTTGCTGTTCCGCTCTATGTTTCTCTTTTCCCTCTTGTTTCTCCTCCCCGGCGCGGCTGGCGACGGTCCAAATCCTAGTCGGAGATACGGCGAGATACCTCTCCCCGGCGGCCTCGGCCCAGAGAGCATCGCATTCGACTGCAACGGCGCCGGGCCCTACGTCGGCGTCTCCGACGGCAGGGTCCTCAAGTGGAACGGCCGGTCCCGCGGCTGGTCCGAGTTCTCCATCCCTCTCCCAAACCGGAACCGAGCTCTCTGCGACCGAACCACCGACCCCAACTCTGAACCTCTCTGCGGCCGGCCGCTGGGCCTCAAGTTCGACCGCGCCACCTGCGATCTCTACATCGCCGACGCCTACTTCGGCCTCCTGAGGGTGGGGCCCGCCGGCGGCGTCGCGGAGCATCTCGCCGACTCGGCGGAGGGAGTCCCGTTCCGGCTCACGAACGGTTTGGACATCGACGAGAGAACCGGAACCGTGTACTTCACCGACAGCAGCGCGGTTTTCCAGCGCCGCGAATATCTCAAGTCGTTCAACAGAGGAGAGAGAACCGGGAGGGTGTTGGCCTACCACGCGCGGGACAAGCGCGTGAGGGTTTTGTACAGGGGACTGGCTTTCCCCAACGGAATCGCCCTTAGCAGAGACGGGTCTTTCCTCGTGGTGGCGGAAGGCGGGACGCGGAGGCTGTACAAGTTTCGCCTCGGCGGCGGCGGCGGCGGTTTGGCGCCGCCGGAGTTGTTCGCCCAGCTGATACGCGCTCCGGATAACGTGAAGAGGAACGGGAGGGGGGAATTTTGGGTGGCGCTGAACAGCGGGAGGTCGGAGCTGAGGGACGAGACGCTTGCCGCCGGCGGTGACGCCGTTAGAGATTCGATCGGGATCAAGTTTGCGGAAGACGGTCGAATTCTGCAGTTTCTGGACGGCTACGGCAGCGACCGTTTGAGCTCCGTGAGTGAGGTGGAGGAGCATAACAGCAGATTCTATTTGGGCTCCGCCGTCAAACCTTACGTCGGCGTACTTCGCTTCTAGATTTTTAATTAATTAAATTTCATTCATCGTTACATTAATTACCTCTTTACTTTTTTTTTATTATTGTTGCAGTTGTAATGTTAGACACATTCAAGATTTGGTTTGTACTCGTATTAATTTAGACATCTATGAATGAAATCAGTTTTTAACAAATCAATTATTTTTCTCAAAATAAATACTCCTTAGATATTTATCAGTTTGCATGTTGTTTCTCCCCGATTTTTTTTCTGGATTTTGTATGTTAATGAATAATGAAATATGAAAATGTATTGATTTAATTTCTAACCCTTAAAAAATTAGTCACAATCCTAAAAACTAAGCCATAATCACCATAATACTAGCTTTAAGCCTTTAACCTCATGCTTTGCACGGTCAAACGGTCTCATATACATTCCAAATGAATATATTATCATTCTAAGATATACAGAGTATATTTTTAAAATAAAATGTATACTTTAAATATTGATGTACAATTATTAAAAATTTTATAACTATTTTATTTAAAAAATTATTAGATTAAATAAAACATAAAAATGCTAAAAACATTTTAATATCTTTGAAGGTTAACTGTTTTTTTCATTTTTCTGAAAGTGAATATTTTTAAATTAATAATAAATAGTCTTATACATACTCTTCTTTAAACTTTTACAATCAACTAGTATTTTAACTCGTGCGATGCATGTGGATAAACAAATTTGTTGTCACTTCTGTAAATTATCTTCAATGTTTTGTTTTTAAAAGAATTTATAAAAATATATGTCATGCATTCTTTAACATTATATATAGATATTAAAATTAGAATAAAATAAATAATTTAGCGTTTAATATTTGTTAATGAAAATTCTTATATTTAAGTTCAAAAGCAATCAGCTCAAAGTCTTTTTTAAATCCATATTTTTCTAAAGACTGCATGGTACCCAACATTTTTGGTATAATTGCAAGAGTTTTCATTATAATTTAGAACTAATCTTTTTAACTTCATTGTTGCTTTCACTCGTGAAACAACAACATTATTAGTGAAAATTAAAGTGGCTTGATTAAAAATAATTCAACAAATAACAATCTTTGACCCTGACTTTTGTTAGTAGTCATAACAAAACATAAAACTATTAGGAATCGTTGCTTCTGAAACTTCAAGCATAGTTCTGGATCACATAGTACCAAATTCATCCTAGGTATATATAATCCTTTTCCCGGACTCAATTTCCCTAAACCACATTTAAACTAATAATGTTATTTTGTAGCTCTTCAATGACTAATCTTGTCTCATTACACAATCTAGATGCTTGGTTAATTTTCCTCAATAGCATAGCCCGAATCCCATTTTCAAAATTATTTTAATGTATGGAATTCTCGAACATTTGATTCATTCAAAAGGGGCGAGGGGCGTGTTTGGACTAAGGCAGGGTGGAGGGATTTCTTGAAAAGATTAGGAGGTAGAAACATTTTATTTTAAGAACGAAATATCGAAGCACGCAGAATCATCATATGATATTGATAATCAATGTCTTGTGAATGAGCAGTAAAAATATTATATTGAAAAATTTTTAAAATGGAAAAAATTTGATTGAATCTTTTTGATTGAAAAATTTTCAAAATATAGTAAGAGAATAAATAAGGAAGTTTCTCCGCCTACGGAGTAAATAAATAAGGAAGTTTCAAACGATATGATTGAATCTTTTTGCAGAGAATCAGCAGGTCTTCCCGATCGACACGGGAGCGGCGAGGAAGATGACGATGGTCCAGAAAGAGGTTATCCAGAAGGCAGAGGAGTTGGTGCAGAGAGCCATGAAGGGGAACGATGCATCTCACGATGCGGCACATGCCTTCAGAGTTCGAGACCTAGCTCTGTCTCTCGCCCTCGAAGAAGGCCTCTCTTCTTCTCCAGATTCCATGTTTATTGTATGTGTAAATTGACTTCTCTTCGCGTGTTTCTCTTTATGATCTTGAATGCTTTTATGTTTACAGCTGCTTTTGTGTTTCTGTCTAGTTGTGTTTCACATTTTTTCAATTCACTAGTTGTAGTTTGAGTGAGAAATTACATGATCTCTCCTTACATTAATTTCCCCCGAATCAACTTTCGGGGAATAAGCCTTAATTTAGCCCTAACTTCACATTTGTAAACATGACTTTGCACTTGTTTTGGAGTCAATGATCCATTGCAGTGCCGAGTGGATACTTTTACTTTAGGAAGGTGGTTGGTGAGAGTGTGCTTTTACTTTATGATGATGAGATTGAGCTCAAAACTACTACGGAGTATTTTGTTAAATTTTTAGTTGCAAAATCATGTTAAAAGGCTGACTTGGTGCCCTGCATTGTGTTGGCAATCTAGGTTTAGTACAAGGAGGAATCTTGGAGAGTGCTGTAATTGGATATTGCCTTAATTTCTTGAACAATTATTGGAGTACTGGTTCCTACTTAAAAGGCTTCGACATTGAGTTTGAGTGTACTGATTTTCACGAAGCAATATGCTTAAACCATAATTTCATAATTAATGTTTGATTCACTTAAATTTTGATTGATCTAATCTTTTTGTGTGTTTTCTTGAGATGTGGGTCTTTTGCATATGCTGTGGTACATTCATGATCCACCCTCCCTAGACCCCACTTATGACACCTAATACCTATAGGGCTGTTGAATTTGTTTTGTTGATAAATTTTGGGATCATTTGCCAATATGTAATAATTACCGAATGTATTTTTAAAAACAATTGATGTCCGATTTTTTTTGAATTGTTTGCGGTTAGTAAGGGGTGCTTGATGCTTAGCAAAAATATAATTCAATCTAGTTAAATATTGTTACTCTCTGTTGAGGCTGATATATTAGTTGTTAAGAACACATGTTACTAAATGTATCTTTTTGACAGGTGGAACTAGCTGCTCTGCTGCATGATATAGGTATCAAAACCTTTTCTTGTTCATGTAAACATACCAATTTACTTTAGAAAATATGTTTGTTTTAGGAAAGAATTCATCTTCCACTTATATCCCTCATCATTTGAATTTTTCTCTTCCTAGTGGTGAGAATTATTACTTAAACTAATGGAATTCCTTCCTACTGCTTGCTCATATGCAGGTGACTACAAATATGTAAGGTTGGTATTTTCCATTATCCCTATTGACTGTAAGTAACTAAGTATAAGCTTCAATGGCAAGCACACAGGTTTGATATGCATTGCCTATAATCCCTATATGGTTTAGTCTGTAATTAGAACAAGTGGACATAGAGAGCCTAAAATTGCAAATTAACTTCTGTATTTATCTATGGAGCATAAAAGATATGAGATTTCATTTATGCACAAGGAATTAACTTTATTGATTCTCCTTTTATTTATCGTTAACTCCTCTATGTCCCATATGCTTCCTATTATCAGCTCTCAGTTTTCACACTTATTATGATCTAGGGACCCTTCCGAAGCAAAAATTGTTGAGGAATTCCTTGAAAATGAAGGGATAGAAGATAACACGAGGACAAATATTTTGAAGATCATTAAGGGAATGGGTAAGATGCTATCTATATATGGGCATATGGTTAAAGTGATTTAGGGGGTGTTTGTTTTTTCTGCAAGAAAAGGTCTGCGGTCTGCGGACCACTACTGTAGACATCTGCAGGAGAAGTGGTGGACCGAAGGTCTGCGGTCTGCAAGAAGAAGACTGTTTGTTTTTTTAATGTCTGTAGACTGCTATATAAATTAATGGTGGTAGTGTACGGTGGTGGTGTATGGACGATTGTGGTGGTGGTGGAGGGTGGTGGTGGACGTTGACGGCGGTGGTGGTGNGAAAAGGTCTGCGGTCTGCGGACCACTACTGTAGACATCTGCAGGAGAAGTGGTGGACCGAAGGTCTGCGGTCTGCAAGAAGAAGACTGTTTGTTTTTTTAATGTCTGTAGACTGCTATATAAATTAATGGTGGTAGTGTACGGTGGTGGTGTATGGACGATTGTGGTGGTGGTGGAGGGTGGTGGTGGACGTTGACGGCGGTGGTGGTGGACGGTGGTGGTGGTGGCGGTGGATGGTGGCGGTGGATGGTGGTGGACGACGATGGTGATGGACGGTGACGGTGATGGTGGACGGTGGTGGTGGTGGACGGTGGCGGTGAACGGTTGTGGTGGTGAAGAGAAGTAGAAAAAAAGGAGAAGATGTTAGAAGATGTTAGAAGACATTGGTTAATGTCTTCTCCAAGAAGATGTCAGGAAGACCTTTTTGAGTGAAATGTCTTCCAAAAAACAAACAATCTGCAGAGCCCAAAAAACAAACAATCTGCAGAGCCCATCATCTGCAGAGCCCAAAAAACAAACACCCCCTTACTGTTTGTTGCAAATACTTTCATGTCTTAATAGCACATTGGCACTGACATTCATCTCTAATTTGCCATTCAAATGAAGTTGGGTAGCTGTTTGTTTTGTTATAAAAAATCACATTTACACTGATCAACGATGTTGGAAGCTGTGGTTGTGATACATCTCTCTTTCTTAAGTGTGTTTTAAACCAGCCAGGAGAAAACATATACTCCCTCCGTCCCCCAGTTTTTGTCTACTTTTGACTTTTGGAACTGTTCATCTAAGCATTTCGACTCATCAAATTCTCTCAATGTGTAAGCCTAAATATAGTCATGTGTGATCTTGTTTGATTTGTCTTAACATATAGATTATTAATATAAAATTTCTATAATTTTTTAATACACAAATTACAAGATAAAATGGATTAAGAAGTGCATTGGATAGTGTGTAAAAATGAAAGGGGACAAATACTCAGGGACGGAGGGAGTACTACGTATTTCGAAAACATAGTTTAAAATATATTACAAAATCTAAGTTGAATGGAGATGTATTTTGACCAAAGAATAATGTGACCTCCATTTTGGGACAAAGAAGTATAAGCATTCATTTTCAGGGTTTAAAGAAGAAGTTGAAGGCCATGCAAATGGTATTTCTTCGCTGGAATTTGGGGTTGTGCAAGATGCAGATCGTCTTGATGCAATTGGTGCCATAGGTAAAGTAATTGACCTTCAATTGCAGGTTTATAGCTTTTATGAGCCTTGACTCATTTTATTTTTTAGGTACAAAAATAAAAAGATGATACCTATTAACAAATTTTGTTGAATATCTTATTATTTTAGCTCGTCTAATATTCATGTAATATTTAATTTAGTATTAGTGGCTAAAAATGTATGCATTTAGGTACAAAAATAAAAGGTTATATTAAGCGAAACATGTATTGGATATCATAAAAAAACTACATCTTGCTTCATGAATAAATAGTATTGTGCTTCCTCTGTCCTAGATCTTCTCATTTTCCTTTTTTGACCGTTTTATATCTTTATTTCATTTTCCTTCAATGGAAAGACTATTCGCCTTTTTTACATCTCGTCAACTTATTACACCACCTAGGGCAAAAATGTAAAGTCAAACATTTTTTATCTTACATTAAAAAGTGTGCTGAAATAAAACAAGAAGAAAAATATGGGACTTGGGGAGATTTATACAGAAAAAGTGAAATGTAGTGTAAAGTAGATGAAGCTTGCTACATGGCATGTTGTGAACACTTCTTTGGTATTCTTGCGGAGTTGCGGTATATATGTAGTTGTATTGATTCACCAAGGGTTTGCAGACATTACCAAACTGTTGATGTTTGGTATACCATGTAAAATTTCTCTTCCCAAAGTACACCCAATCACATAGATTGCTAAGGGAGAAGTGGATTAAAAACTCATTTCACTCTTATTTTTTTTGCATCAGGTTTCTAAATTGATAGTTATTTATGAACAAATGTCATTTTGTTAATAGTCAATTATACAAGAATTTTGGAAGTATATGCGATAATCCGTATGTTTTTGTTCGTTAACTTATAAGCATCAACATTCAGGAATAGCTAGATGTTTTACATTCGGCGGAAGTAGGCACCGAGTTCTTCATGATCCTAAAATTCTTCCGAGGTCAGATCTGTCCAAGGAAAAATACATGAACAAAGAGGAGCAGACGACTATTAATCACTTTCACGAGAAACTTCTCAAGTTGAAAGACTTGATGAAAACCCAGGTTCCCAAACTGCACCTGATAAATCGTTCTTACCCTTTTCACCCTTTGTTTCATAGATTGGTTCTGACATGGAGTCTATTGGCAGGCGGGGAAACGGAGGGCCGAAAGAAGGCACAAATTTATTGAGGATTTTCTTGAAGAGTTTTATGAAGAATGGGATGGCAGGGCTTGAACTGGTCCCATTTTTCCTGTATGTTGAATGAGACTGGTATTCATTTGCAACTTCCTTTTACCTGGTAATGAGTTTTTGTTATACTTAAAACTGATTGTTAAAGGTGTGATTGTTCATTTGGAAATTGGAAGTTATACGTTTAATTACCAAATGCTTGTGCATAAAAGGCTAGTGCCACTTATTTTCTTGTGATTTCTCGTTTGTTTAATGCAATTGCACTACTTTTCATTTTGGTAAAAAAGAAAAACCTCATATTAATTGGTTGGGTTGAATCATTATATTTTGATTCCACTTTAAAAGTGGGAAATAAATCAAGATTACAAAGAGTGAACCTCATATTAATTGGTTGGGTTGAATCATTATATTTTGACCTAATCACTCTCGGTGTTTTGGGTCTGTTTGATATTAGCGTTAGCATTTTGAAAATTTTATCTACGAATAGCGTTTAGTGTTAGAGTTTTCAAAGTAATCTGCATCATTAAGACTAATCTCTAATTCTATTCTCAAATCGGCCCTTTGTCATGCATCATCATAATTAAAGAATATGTGAATGGAAATAAATTGAGATTACATATTTTGAAAACGAAAACAAAAACAAAAAATGTTACTGTAGAAGACAATAGGGAAATTAAAAAAAGCTAGTTAAAAATGCTACGCTCAGCAGTCTTATTGTAATTAAGTATATTTTTTTTTTAGAAAAGCCATTTAAAAATTCTCCTCGAATAAAAAAAGGTCTATTTAAAAAAAAGATGTTTCAACTTTCAACTCCATAACGAGATATTAAAATGTCTGATGGTACGTTTGATATACGGAATTAGTAAAATTAAAATTGAATTGGAAATTGAAATTTCATAGAATTAAATTGGTTGAAATTGAATTCTCTCATTACAATTTATTTTTGACGCTATCAATTTCATATTCATATAATTTTATGTTACCAAACAGCAGAATTTAGAATTATTGTCTCCAAATCTCCAATAGTCCAATTTCATTCCATAGTTTGAATTACGTGTACCAAACGAAATTTAGTTGTAATTAAGCATGTTTTACGGAATACTCTCCATTCTATATTAACTACAGAATATCAAATAAGATATTTTTGATACATTGAAAGATTAACTACATACTTATGTTTATATTTAATTATTTTTTAACAGAATATAAGTATTTAGAACAATTTTGCAGATCAGGTAGGGCTACCTACATATTCAAACGAATTCTAACGTTTTTGGATGATAAAAAACCTTTACCTTATTTATTTTCTATTTTTAGCTGATTAACAAGGCTGGACGTGAGGGAGGTCTGGGCGGGTCGACGGCTCTGAGCTTCCTAAATTTAAGATGCCCCAAATATTTTAATGCGTAGGAGTAACTTAGAAATAAATTTTAAAATCCAAAATGTTAAATATGGTAGATATATTTCTTATTCTATTTAGAATATCTTGTTTTCTTATTGACCTAGACTATACCTCCTCTCGTGTATGTATAAATACCCCGTTATGATGAATGAATTACGGAGTTTACAACACGTTATCAGCAGGAAAGCTTTGGAAACCCTAAAAAAAATTGCCTGCGCCGAATGAGAAGAAAAACTTCCGATCGGCTCCACAGTTGATCACGATCAACTCTGAGACGGAAGACTTAAAGCGGCGCAAGCTCTCTTTCTCAATAGATCTAATCTCAAGGGTTTTTTTTACAAAGGGGATCAGAGCTACGAGACGACGGCGGCCATGGCTAACGACTCCAGATCGACTCTAGACCTGTACGTATTCTGGCCGAACACGGAGGCTACTATTTTCACCGTCATTCCGTCAAGGAGGGGACGTTCTCGTTGATGACGGCTTGTGCACCGTTTCGAGAAGCACGGAACCGACTTTGACGTAACTCAGAGTAGTAGGATTTATGTTTGCAATGGAGGGTTGAAAGGTCGTGATTATTCACAACATCACCACCATCACTCAGACTCACACCGACTACCGTCATAAGCTAAGATTTCTTAATTCTCCTTATTTTGTGTGATATGTTACTTGATTTGATTAATCGATTATCACATATAGCTAAAAACAAAGAAATAGTAATCACATGAACCATAGCTCTCAACTTGTTGAATAAAAAGTTATTCCTGATATTAAACAAAATCAAATAATGATTTATTTTTAGGAGATAAGAAAGAGTTGATTTGTAATGCCTTTGATTATGATTATTAGGCGTATGGATGAATCATAGTGATTGGCATTTCGTATATTTTCACTGAGCATGGCGTTGATATATTTATGGTCATGAGTGACGAAATGTCAAATTTGGATTATTATGTTATAATGGACGAAATTTAATCTTTGTTTCATAACATCTCTCCAAAGTAAAAATGAGGAAATAGATTTTGTTATTTTACCAAGTTCCAGAAGTAAATGGGTGTAACGATTCTTTTAGTGAAATCATTTTCTTAATATTTTTTGAGATGTCATCATATTTCACTCAAATATACTCCAGTGTAATATATTGCAATAAGTTTATGTGACCAATATCTAANAATTTGGATTATTATGTTATAATGGACGAAATTTAATCTTTGTTTCATAACATCTCTCCAAAGTAAAAATGAGGAAATAGATTTTGTTATTTTACCAAGTTCCAGAAGTAAATGGGTGTAACGATTCTTTTAGTGAAATCATTTTCTTAATATTTTTTGAGATGTCATCATATTTCACTCAAATATACTCCAGTGTAATATATTGCAATAAGTTTATGTGACCAATATCTAACTGCATATTATTATATTCTGCTTGGGGTTATAAAATAATGTTTTGGTTTTTAATTTCCCTCTTGATGATGTGGTAGTATAGAAAGTTAACGATTCTATACGCTCCATATTTGATTATATTCTTGTACTACTTTGGCATGAAAGATTTGTGAGAAAAAAAAATGCATATTTTATTACTTGATCTCAAATGTGATAATTGATTTTGTTGATTCGTACATAAGAAATACGGAGTATATGACATATAAAAGAGGACTTCAATTGAAGTGTCAAATTTTGCCCTGAAAGTAAATCAAATTTGATATTTATTCTAAAGTTCATAATCTCAAAGAGAATAACAAAATAGATTTCTTTTAATCATGCATTTACCATTTTTCAGAAGTAAAATGGCCTAAAGATTTTTTTTAAAGCATTTCTCCTTATGCAATGCCATTATATTTTACTGTGATATAGTAAGTTGCAACAAAACTTGTGTGACCAATATATGTAATTGCATGGTATATGTGATTTGAGATTACAAAATAGTATTTGAGAATCTAATTTCCTGTAGTGTAAAAAAAAATTCATATACTCCATATTTGGTTACATTTTTTTCCCCATTGTTAGGAAAGATTTTTTTTGAAAAAAAAAATATGTTACATATTCATTCCCTGAAGTGAGTAAAAAAAAATTGATTGACCTGCATGAAAATAATAGGCTATCACAACTATTGTGGTTTTACATATGGACACATTAAAGTCACTATTATGGTCACATAGAATTACATTTAAAAAAAACATTGATTATCTGAATCTAAATATTCCTGAAGAATATTGAATTCTGAAAACAAATCATTAAGATGTATAATCTCCTAAATTAAATAAGAGTCATCATGTTCTATATGGGTATATGAGATACCTAAGATATTATAATATTTAATTACCACCTGAAGTGGCTTATTTTTAGTAAAAACAATAATCTCATTATACAGACACGTTTTGATATTTCAAGAGCTTTGTTCTAATCTATATATGATTCCTCATCAATATTCTTGAAGAATGATGTAGTAAATATATTATAATCAAAGGAGTGATTATACATATTATATTTTTTAGATGAAAGAGATTCTTTTCTCTTGTAATTAAAGAAGTTAGTGTAAATATAAATTTCTTGTTATACAAAACTTATAGATAGCTCCAGAAGAGCATTGCAGGATAAGAACTGCATAATAGAAGTAATAAAAGTCTCATAAATATTGAATATTTTGAGATGATAGTTATTGTCTTGCATTGACGAATATTCTATTGGGTATAGACAAATCCTTACTGTTTAAGGTGTCTCTATTAATGTTTAAGATACTAGTGGAAATGAATATTACATGACACTTGGTCGAGATTTGTTTTCACGTAAACTAGAAGTTTACTTAACCAATTTTTATTTTAAACATAACCAATTAAATTATCACAATTTAGTTTGTGATGTGAAGGAAAAATCATTAAAAACTCAAGTGAGTAATATCTGGTTGACACATAAAATTCATGATGAGCACTTTATTTGCAATATCTTAATATAATCTTCTTTCTTGAACTTCAGGTTCACATCTTCTTTAATTGGATAATATATATAATCTAGCATATGTCATGGAACTTATCTTCCATTCAACTCCTTCAAAAATCTTCCCTCAGTATCTACCTACCATTATGGTATCTTGATAATTTATCTTAATTTAAGCCCATTAAGCATCCGCTCCAAATAATTACCACATAAACGAAGGACTAGAAGTTTCTGTTATTATTAGGACCAGAAGATCCTAGAGTCTTGTTCTCATTAGAAGATTATTATGAGATTATTACTAATGAAACTTGAGATTCATTTCATACATATTTAGAAATTGTTCAAGGATAATTGATTGGGCCCATCAACTATTCGTGATGACAATTTATATGCTTTATATAATGCATCGTTATATTTGTCATATTTGTTGACAATTAACTCGTAACCCGAAGTTTATGATATTTGTCCATATGTTATATTATGGACACAATTTATAGGTTATGTTGAACATCATTAGTCACAAAAGAGCCTGCAGCTCTAGTTAATATGCAAAGTGCATCGAATAAGTGGCTATATTTTTTTTATTATGAGAACAAATCATTTTATACTAGATTTTGAACCTTCGTTTATGTGGTAATTATTTGGAGCGGATGCTTAATGGGCTTAAATTAAGATAAATTATCAAGATACCATAATGGTAGGTAGATACTGAGGGAAGATTTTTGAAGGAGTTGAATGGAAGATAAATTCCATGACATATGCTAGATTATATATATTATTCAATTAAAGAAGATGTGAACCTGAAGTTCAAGAAAGAAGATTGTATTAAGATATTGCAAATAAAGTGCTCATCATGAATTTTATGTGTCAATTGTAAACACTTTGGTTA